AGAAACAGGAATTCTTAGCACAGGCCTCATCCTTCACTCCGCCTGAACGCCCACTCTTGTACTTGGGATTCAGGAAGTTGACACGTGGTTCCTAGAGCCCTTTTGGAACGTCAGAGTCCGGCCTTTGTAAGTGAAGGGCACTTTGTAATTTTTGAAGAATGACCTGCAGGCGGTGGTTCTCACGGAGCGGCCCTGGGGTCAGCAGGGCAGCACCCCCGGCCTTTGAGCGCTGTCTCCATGTGTCCTCCTGGGATCCCAGGGCCCGCTCCACTGAGAACCTCCCTCCCGGGCTGTGTATAAACATCTTTTTTAGAAATAGTGTTTTTATTAAAATAGGACATTGCTGCTCCCGTGACAGTTCAGACTAAGGTCTTTGAGTCATGTGACACATCGGAAGCCAATGGAAGACGTCAGGGTGGTTGCAGCGTCTGCCTTTGTGACAGCCTTGTGCCCCACGGTCTGGTTCTGCCTTTGCAGCGGAAGCGGGTGGCGGGTGACCATGGGTGTGAGTGTGCCGCGTGAGGCCAGATTCCAGATGGAGAGTCCCCTTCCGGAGCTCTAGCCCCGGCCGGGGTGCCTGCTTGTCTGGTGACAGCGGGCCTCCGTGTCGCGTCGGGCCGTGCACCCAGACCGATCCCTGTGGTGGGGACTAGACGCTGAATTTGCCGTAAGGAGAAGGTTTAATAAAGCACTGTCTCCATGACCTCTGCCTGCCGTGTGATGGCTGCTTTGTCCAGACTGGCTCCCCCTCCCGCAGCCCGCAGCCCGCAGCGGGTGCCTTGGGGCCTGGGTGGGCACAGCCGGGTTCCTGGCCCAAGGGTCACCCAGGAGGGCATGGTTCTGTGTGAAATACTCTGATGGCTCCTGGGAGTGGGGGCTGCGTGCTCCGCCGAGGGGGCCCCAGATGCTGCAGGGACCCTCCCTACCCTGCAGCCTGCTCCCCAGAGCGCCGAGGGGGCACGTGGGCAGTAGGGCTTCCTTGAAGCTGCCTGTGCTCTCCCCTAGAGTGAAGGGCCGAGGCCCCCCGTTGGGACGCCGGGAGCAGGACAGGCACAATGTTACCTCCCCCCATCCTGCCACTCCTTCCGGCCCCGCTCCAGGGACAGATCACAGCCCTGAGCCCGGGACCTCCACCCTGTCTCAGGCGGCCTCACCCCTTCACTGGCACCGGGCTGCATGGGGCGCTGTGTGGGATCCTTCCACCTCTGCTGGGTCTCCTCCCTGCCCAGAGGCCACCCTAACCCGTGTCCCTTCTCTCCCTGAGGCCAGCCTTGGCCATTGTCCCCCTCCGCCCCATAGGTCTGGAGAGCTGAGGGCCGCCGGGGCCTCAGCCCTTGTCTTCCCCCTGCCTGGGCCCTGGGCCAATGGCTCCCATCCAGGTTCATTGTGGTGCCCCTGGCAGGCATCCAGGCATGTGTTCACTCCGTGGGGTCCTTCCCCATGCCACGCCTGGGAGTCAGTGGCCAGGGACAGGGGCCATGTGAGCCTGTGGCCAGCAGCTGCCCCAGAACACGAGGCCTGGTCTGCAGCCTGTTTCTCGGTTCCACGACTCAGAGGGCCACCAGGGCTCTGGAAAGGCTGATCTGGGGCGGAGGCAGGGATTGCTTATGGAGGTGGCGCTGCAGGGACACAGCAGCTGGCCCGAAGGGATGTTCCTGGCCCGAATGAGGACAGAACGAGTATGAAACAGCAGAGAGAGCATGTGGGTTGCAAGCAAACATCCACGCCCCCGCTGGTGCAGATTATTGCCCTGGTTCTCTTCTCAGGAGAGTCTACCCCCGAAGCTCTTTAGGGAGAATCTGCTGGTGGACCCGCAGAAGCGCTGGAATCCGCTCGTCCTGCTTTGCAAACCCCACAGAATGGTGCCCCGGGGGGGGGGGGGGG